AAAGAAAGAAGAAAGAAAGAAATATTTGTGAGATATTTTTCCATGTGGCTATTAGAGTTTAACTTCTTAAGCATACTTTTTTTAGAAATATAATCAAGAATTAATGTGTTTGAAAAAGGTACAGTGAATGCTCATTGGCCTGAACTCAAATGAATGAGAAAGCTAAACTAAAACCTGGTGGTGGTATTCTCACATTCTGCATTCTACTTTTATGAGAAATGGCAATTAAATAATAAATCAGCTCTTGCATTAGGCAACTTTAGAACTATCTGGGCAGCCAACTTAATTTCCTATATCGTCTTTATTACAGCAGTGTACAGTAAAAATAGACTTCTATTATGATGGCCCTGGACTCTGAAGGATCTTGAGATGGTGAAAGCTCAAAGGAAAATTACACAAAGATGCATCCATTTTTTTACACATTATTTGGAAATATATTATCTCTATCCCAAGTAAACCAAATACCGCTTTAATATAAATGCTCATTTCTCCAAGCCCTCTTTATAAAAAATAACTATACAGGATGATCTTTTATTTTCATAATTTTGTTCTTTGGTTAAAAATAAATGCATCCTTCAACATCCTTTGTTTACTACTGATCTTAGAAATGTCTGTTTTTAATCACACCACCCGGTTCAATTTGGAATACTGTGTATCAATTATCCTCATCACTAGTTGGTCTTTCCTTTTATTCTGACATCTGTTAGAAGAAGCAGCTTGAGGAAGAGCTTCGCTATCAATTTTTCAACAAGAGCCTTCTGACTTGATAAAAAGGGATCATCTAAATTATGTCCTCATCAACTGTACCTATTACTTAGTTCCAGCATACTCCTGTTCTTGGTAGCCATTCTGTTAGTTCACCTTGTTCTGTCCACCTTATTTAATGACTCATAAATGCTATATATACATATTAACCTATCTTATATGTGGATTTTATTTAGGCTTGCTACCAATGCTCTCCTCTTTAATGTTTCTTGGTCTTCAACTCAAAAATTTTTCAGAAATTTTAAAATTAATAAAATGAATCAAAATGGAAGTTGGACATCAGTTCCAAATCAAATGAATGGATGACCCAGCATCACACTTGTGGTTCCATTCTACTAAATATCCCCCCTACAGGATTCAAAAAGACAGAAACCCCTTTATAACTTGAGACAACCCAATGAATCTCTTTTTGGGAAGAAAGTGGGTCAAAACTAGAAATTCACAGTTATTTTTGTTGAGATCTGAAAATAATACTCAAATCGAAAAGATAAATAAAACTGCACACACGCAAAATACAAAACAAGCTATTACTCGTTTTTCACAAACCTTTCATTAAGTAATCATTTTAGAGAAGCAAATCTCCAGATAGCATACAGACCAGCATCTACTCCTCTATTTTTCTAACATACCAGTATTCAGCAGTTTTTGTGAAAGAGTCATCAACTGTTGCCCTTGAAGTGTTTTCTTTTTTGCCACATCTTGCTTGCCTGTGACAGGGTAATAAATACTATTCCACGCTAAGAAATAAGTGAGGAAGAGTTTGCCATATTTTGTTCCATGCTCGAACCAATACATTATTCTAAATCTCTGGGAATTAAAGAAGTAACAATTATTTCAGCATTAAAACCATCTTGGATTTCTTGCATCCCACTGCCAAAACAAATTTGAATACCACAGGGAGAAGAATGTGACACATACCATCAACTGGTTTCAAAAAATTACCTAGCACCTCGCTCTTTCACCAAAATCTTGGATACTATCAGAATCTAAACTCATCACTATATAGAAAGTGAGTAATCAGTGAGATGCCCCAACTGCCATGTAGAAAATGCAGCAATCCAACTCTACAAGCCTGTAAAGAAGGGGGAAAGGATGAGGGGCTATACTGAGGAAAGTAAAATGATGCAGAATAATGTCAAGCAGATTTCATTAAGGTAACACTACATTTTTCAGTCTACGCTTCTTGACAGCAAGTACCTTTAATTAATTATTAATCAGTACTTTTTTTTTTTTTAACTTATCCCCGGTAGATATAGATAGCATATGTATTTGCATTTCTTCCTCTGGGTTGACAGGTAGCTATTGTTACAGATTTCCACCAATGGCAGGCAAATCACAGGGCTTAGGTTGCTTGTAGTCTAACACTCCCCATCTCACTGCACCATCATCAGTCTGTCAGCACTGCCTCTTTGGCCCAATGGGATTCTAAGAGCTAACTAACAGTGGTGCAATGTCCCATTCTATCACTGAAGAGACTACTGGCCAGCTCACAGCAACAGAATGCTGCCAACCATATATCTGCATGCCAAAAATTGGAGAGATTTTTTTTTTTTAATATTGGCTCTAAACTTCCAGCTTTGCAACTTCAGTTTCTGCTAACAGCTAAGTTGCTCCATGCCAGAAGCAGATGAAAAAAAAAAAAAAAAAAAGCAACTGAAACCCAGAGGATAGTAAGTTGATAGAGCAATGCAGGCAAAGGATATAGAATCATTAAGGAAAAAGGAAGAGTAAAAGAAGAAGAAAAAGAAGGAGGGAGATGGATTTTAAGCTTTGAGAGAATGAACAGAGATGCTTATGATCTGGCCCCAGTGGGCCAGCCTGCTAACCATTACTGACTGATCCAATCTACTTGGAGGATTCAGACGAGAGGGGAGCCACACCTACATGCTGGCACGAGAGCTCTAAAATTCAACTTTCTTCCCGTATTGTTGTTTGTAGAGCCCAGTCACTCATCAGCCACTACCAACGACCTCCTGTAGACACAATCATGGTGCAGAAGCCAAACTCATCAACATGCTAATGAAATTATTACATCAAGATTTTTGTATTTAATCTGACTTTTTTTTCAGTCTTCATACCAAAGATGCTCCTTCTCAGAAGAAATGTTTTCTTCTTGTCCCTTTAAGTACAAGGGAAGACCATTAACTCAATATAAAATATTATATTGAAAATTCTGAAGAATTTTGAAAGACAACTAGATGTTTTAATTGAAGTGGAAAGGCTATAACCCTGGGTACGTTCCCATTCACAGAGGGGCCTGAGACGACATGTCACTGGCCCAATCTTTCAGTCTAAGTTCTTCCTCTGTAAATTAGTAATAGTACAACTCATGTCACGCAGATCACTGAAGGCTTAGTAATACACAAAGTTCTACTTATGACATACTAAGACTTCATTTGCCTATGATGCTCCCACAGACCCACCTCAGATAACAAAAAAGCTGCTAAAGAAATGAGATTATGTAGAGTTTTATATTCATCCAGGTGTTTCTTTAGTATTTCTTTAGTATTATTTCATGACAAGAGCGGTAAGACAAGTACTATAAAACATGTTTTACAAATGCAGAAGCCAAGCCCCAGGGAGATGTGCAGCTCTGCCCCATGCCACGTGGCTAGTTACTGGCTGAGAAATGATGACAGCCAAGTCTCCTCAGTGATCTTTTTATTCTGGACTCTAAGATTCATTAAATATCAAGAAATACCTTGCACAGAATCAATAAGAACTTGTAATCAAGCAAAGATAAATGAACGATTGCACCAGGCTTTTTTCCAATTTGATGAGGGATATTAATATTTAACATACTCTGCTTAAAAATTTAAACGTCCAATGCCAAGATATTTACAATTCAAAAAAACCACAGGTGTTCGTGAAGAATAGGAAACCTATAGAGCATGTAGTAAGCCAACATCTTCTTGATTCAACTTCTGGCCACTGTCTTTTAAATGTAATATTTTGGAAGGTGGTATCCTAAGCTACAACTCTAAGGAAAGTAGAGTCTTGACTTTGTATTACCAACTCCTGTCTCACTCCAGGTGAATTGCTTCTTGTTTGCTGATAAATGGAAACATACTGAAGTACCCACAAATAAGCTAATGTACATGTTAAGTCTTCGCAAAGGACCGGAATGGTTTGGGATTTGTTATACCTGAATTAAACCATACTCCATCTTTCAGCTCCTATTTCTGTGCATATTTTGTGCTCCCACTACAGCTTTAAGCCCCATAGAGTTCTATGTGAATTCCCCATAGCTCTATGGGGAGTCTCGGCCACCCAAAACTGTGCTACACAGAAACCTGTACGAACAGAGCGACCTTAAGAGTTACCCGCCCAGATGCACCAAAAAAGCGCACACGCACTTAAATAAAAACACACAAAACCAATCCTCTGGGTTTTTTAAGTGTCAGCTCTTCAACCATTTCAAGTTACTTAAGTAGAAAAAGTCGCCTCCACGGAACAGTTGAGTCAGGGGCACCCGGGGCCCCATCTTCACGTCAACCTGTATTCGCAGCCTAAAAAGCCTCGTCCTTGATCCATTCACTGCGCAGATTCCAGCACTGGAGGCGCCGGCGATCTGCGCTCGCCTCCTCTGGCTTTAGCCCGCCTTGGAACGACCGGGCCCCTCCTGCTCACACCCTTCTCGCAACATTTTTGCACTTTGCGTGGGTCTGATTCAGGCCTCCAGCCTCCCGTTCCCTGGTCTCAGCTTGGACGAGTCTGAGCGGCAACTGGAACGTCAGACAGAAGTGGGTCCCCTCCTGCCCGCCCGGGCTGTCCCCTCGCGTGGAGGCTGGAGACATCCGGCCGTGGCGGGCGACAGCGCGAGGCCGGCGACTTCTTCGCCATCCCCGCAGCCCCGCGTCTTCCCGCCTCCGCCCGGGCCACCCTTGGGTCCCCCCATGTCCCCGGGGCGCAAAGCTGAGGTCCGAGTGGGTAAGGGGACCGAGGCAACACGCGTGTGCGAGGGTGTGAGTGCAGACACACCGCAGCCGGGCAGCAAACCCCGCCTCTCCCCGAACTCCCGCCTCGGACCAGCCGGCAGCCCGGGCGCCCCAGGGCTGCCCGCTCTGGGACAAAGCTGCCACGGCCTCCCAGCAGGCGCGGGGCGCGTCGTCGCCGGGTCTCCTCAGTCTCCCTCGGCCGCGACTCCGTCCCTAGGGGCCTCAGGGCCGCCGGGGGTCCGGCGAGACCCGGGGCCCGGCTCCCGCAGCCCTCGCCCCGCGCCCCCGCCGGCTCACCTGTTCAGCACTTTGCGGATCCTCTGGCGTACGCCAGCCCGGGAGGAGGCGGACAGGCTGCCGCCGCCGCCGCTGCCCTCGGCCGGCAGGTTCTCGATGGTGGTCACCACATGGTTCGGCGGGGCCGGCGGCGGCGGCTGCAGCTGCTGCTGCGGCGGCTCGGGGGGGATCATCGCGGCGGAGGCGGCGGCGCGGCGGCGATCAGAACCCAGCCGGGCGCATCGTGCGCCGGCTCGGGGCCCGGGAACGCGTAGAGGACCCGGCCGGGCGGCCGCGGCCCGGGAGGCGGTGCTGCCTGCGAAGCGGCGAGGCCGGGAGGTACCCGCAGCTACGGCCGCCGCCGCCGCCCAGCCCGCCACTCACTCCTCTCCCGTCCTGGTGCGCGCCCCCTTTCTCCGCCGCCGCCTTCTCCCGCCCCGGCTCTTCCCGAGCCGCTCCCCAAGTCCTGGCACACCCCGCGAAGTGGCCGCAAAGGGGGCCGCGCGCGGCCGCCGAGCTGCCCGTCGGCTCAGTAGAGCCCCGGGGAGAGAGGGGATGGGACTCCGGGCTTTGCCTTCTCTCCCGGCGCCCAGGTCCTCTCGGGGCGAGCGGCGCAGTTGTGCTGGCGCCGCCTCAGCCTGTCCCCCGCTCGCTCGGAAAGCTGCCGTCTGTGTCTCACGGAGTGAGAGACCGAGAGTGAACCCGGAGAGCCGGGCGGGGGCGCCGCGGCGGCGGCGGCGGCGGCGGCGAAGGGGGGCCAGGGCGGGGACACGCGCTCCGTCTTCGCCAGAGGGCGCTCCCGAGGCGCATCCTTGCCCCGACCCTCCTCTCCCCGGTACACCGGAGGCCCTGCCTAGCTGGGGGTTGCGAGGATTTGTTTTGCTGTCTTTTGTTTTGCTGTCTTTTGTTTGTTGTTCGCGTGAGGCTGGGGATAGACCCTTCCCCTTTACTTGGAGGCGACTACCCGCTCCTGCCGCGACACCGCGGAACCTTAGCACCACCTTCCCGGGACAGCGCCGGGACGCGAAGACAAGGCGCTGGTCCCGGATTAAAAGCCCAAACTCCAGTATCCTATTACCCCAACACTCACCGTAATGGGCCTGGAGGAAATTGGAGGAGAAACAACTTCGCACAAAGAATTCATTCTGGAAACTGGAAAAAGCATGTCAGACCAACTCCACGTCTGCATCTTGTAGGGCTGTGAAGGAAACGTAGGCAGATTCGACTTCCAATTGTGCCTCTAAAACTTATTAGCAGAGATTCCCTAAGCAATTTATGTACTTACATTCTGAGACACATCCTCCTTTGTGCAACGGAGGCTTTGCGTCTTTCTCCCCGCGGTGTAGTAAGAGTTAAATGAGGCAAAGCACCCAGCAGGGGGCCCTGCGGGCTTCTTCAAGGGGTCTCTGACCAGAGGATCTCCACCCCCAAAGGGGAAAGCCCCTGAGAACCTGGCACAGACCTAAACAAGACCGTATTTCTCTCAAAGGAAACCTGGTTTCCTGTCCCAGGCATCTCTTACACCGATTGCTCCAGATTCCAGTTAATAACTGACTCTTAAGGGAGTTCTATTTTTCACATTTTCCTTTATCTAGACTGTCTGGATAGGGATCCTGTGGAAAATGATAAGCATTTTGAAAATTTTTCCACTTTAGTCAGCGTGTGGAATTATTGGCCCTGAATATGGTTAAAAGATAAGTATGTTTACAGAACGGCATGCTAATATCGCCACTGAATCCAAATGCACAAATAAAAAAATACTGGTGATTTGCCAAGGAGAGTGGGGTTGGGGAAAAAATAACATTCGAGAAAGGAATGGACTATGTCTGATTAACCCAAGGGAGAGGGGAGGATGAAAAGATGAGATTCACTGTTTGGTTAAGAAGTTGCCACCCCTTTAACAATATTGGGAGCCCTTTTTTTAATTATCAAAAATTTGAGGAAACAGCTGTCCAAAAAGCTTTCCAATCTACATTTCATTTTATGTAAAACCCAGTTACTACCTGAAATATCCCTGAGGTCTTTTTTCTACAAAACGTAACTCAAATTAGAGCATTTTCCCTTTAATAATTAACACGCTGCCCTGTTCTTTCTCAAGAACCCTTCACTCAGATTTTTCCACCTCAGTTTTGTACCAGATACTCTGAAGAATTGTTGCAAATGGGATCAAAGTTTGTAACCTCATGGGCGGTAAGACTTTAATAGTTCCCAATGAGTTTGCCCTTGGGGGACACACCAAATGGAGGCAATATTAATCAAATGCACTTCATCTCAACCTGGCGGCAAATCGTGGTAGGAATCTCTCTATTAAAACAACATTTCTGGTTATTTCATGTGTCTGCCTTGAATGACTGGTTGCTTGAGTGCCCTCTTCCTTCACATTTGGCCTCCTTCCTTTTGAATGTTTCTGGCACATCACAACTCAGGGCTGTGTCTGCACTTCAGTGTCTGCGTTTGTGTCTGGTCATTTCTCCGGTTGGACTGTTGAACCCAAATTATCTAACTCTCCACTGAGTCAGGAGGGAAGAAAGCCAGGATGGGAGAGGAACAAGATGAGAGATGAAAAATTTCAATCCTGCTGTTAAGAAAAGACCTAATGCGGGTACAAGCCTAAGGTTTTCATTCTTTCTTGTAAAGGGGTTACAGTCTCAGGCCCATTCTTGCCTTCCAATTCTGTGCTTTATGCTTGTCTCCTAAAAAGTAGCAAAATAGCATTTGAGAGGTAAGTAGAACAGCTGTTAAAAGGACACGTGTCCGAGTGGCCGTCTGATATGGAATTAAACAAAAGAGATATGTGGAAGGCCTACTTCCCTTTCCCCTGCTGCCTCCTGGGCCTCAAAATCCATCTTTCATGAGCTCAGAACCAAAGAAAAGGGGATGAGGGCAATAAGCTGTGGGTCTGCATGCAGTTTTTTAGCTGGAGCATGTGGATTCCAGGATGGTGCTTACTGCTCAGTTCATCCCTCTTTGACCGGGTGTGCTTAGTGCCGACCATTGTAAAATTTCCATTCCACTCGAACCATTACATCATCTGATTTTCACTTAACCAAGTGCTAGCTCCATTGGATTCTTCTAGGAAGTAGAAGGTGACTATCAGCTACACCCTCTTTAATGGTGCTCATTTTAAAGAGAGTTCCTCTCAGGTAGGGAAGAGTAGGGTTTGGCCCATGTCTCAGTCCTCAGAGTCACCAGGCATTTTGACTCATCGGTTTTGCATAGACTGCACCTGTGTGTTCTATCAGGTAAAAGCTTCACCGTCATGCTCCAGAAGTAAGGGATGATTTTCTCCAAATTGCTGAGCAGTCGCCTGGAATTGCTTGCGTTGCTCCAAATGCCCAGTGGCCCATCTGCTCTCCCCATGCCACTCGCTTACTCTTTTTCTTTCTCTCCTAAGTCTTTTTGAATCTACTCAAAACATGCTACATGGCATCGAGAATGAAAGGGCAGCCGAGTTTTGATTCACATGACTGAATTCACACAGGAGAGAAGAAAGCAAAGCTGGCGGGAAACTTACAGAGATGGGAAAGGGAAAGGAGAAGAATGTGTAGGTCTTTACATTTATATCCAAGCAATGGATAAAATAATTGGGAAGTCAAATTGGCAGAACCTCATCATTACAGTCTGTGGACAGTATCGGTGGACAGTATCGGTGGAAAAGATGCACAGAGCAAGGAAACAGACAGTAAGCAAGAGGTGTCAAGGACTGCTCTCACATTTTACACCCCTCTTCTGTTTATGTAATTTTTTTCTTTTGTGTTTTGGAAATGTTATTTCTTCGGGGGAAACTGAATACCATCTGTAGGTTTATAATTGACCTTTCCTGATAAGAGACCTGGAGCACTGGAGAAGGAGATAAGTGTTATTAGTTGTGAATAAGGCCTAATTTTCCAGGGTCAGACTACATTACCATAGCTTAAAAATGTCTAAGTATTATTTGCCAAGCGTTCCATGTCCAAAAGCATAGAATAGCATATCTCTGTCATGGTGACATGGTAAGTCCTTGACAACAGAAAGCTTGCTTTATTCAGTAAGGGCACTGATAGTACCAGTTTCCTCATGATTATCTTAATATCTCAAGATATAAACATATATATATATATATATATATATATATATATATATATCTATCTCAAGACATTAGCCAAAAAATATGAGAATGATTCCTGTATTTGTCTGTTTAGGCTGCTATAACAAATAACATCAACTTAACAAACATTTATTTCTCAGGTCCTGGAAAGGCCAAGATCAAGGCACCAGCATATTTGGTGTCTGGTGAGAGCCTTCCTCCTGATTTGCAAATGTTCACCTTCTTGCTGTGGAGAAAGACCATCTCTTTCATGTCTCTTATAAGGGTACTAATACCATTCATGAAGGCTTTACCCTCATTACCTCATTATCTCCCAAAGGCTCACCTCCAAATACTATCACATTGGGAATTCAGGTTTTAACATATAAATTTGTGGTAGGGGGAGGTGGACACAAACATTCATTTCATAGGAATGTTCCAGAAACACTCACTGGGTTTTTTTGGCAGTATATATAATAATTTATTATTTTTATTTGTTAGAGTATTACTATACAAATTTACATACGGTTTTAAGAAAACATTTTATGGAGGGGCATCTGGGTGGTTCAGTGGGTTAAAGCCTCTGCCTTCGGCTCAGGTCATGATCCCAGGGTCCTGGGATCGAGCCCCACATCAGACTCTCTGCTCCATGGGGAGCCTGCTTCCCCCTCTCTCTGCCTGCCTCTCTGTCTACTTGTGATCTCTGTCTGTCAAATAAATAAATAAAATCTTTAAAAAAAAATCAGTAACATAATGCTTACTACTTTAATCAGAGATGCAGAGATATCAATTATCTCTGAATAGGGCAGCAAAATCCTCAAATAAACCTCTTTTATCATTTTAAACTGATGACATCAATAACCTCTCCCTCTAAATTTTTAATACACAAAAATATTAAAGTAAATGTTTTGGTAAAATTATAGTAAATTTATATACTGACTTGTCAGTGAAATTTATACACTGACTTGTGTGGAATTTATATACCGACTTGACATTGACTAGGTGGGAATTTACATACTGTCTTGTCAGTGACCAGCTGGGAAGAAACTATGTTTGAGTAGAATTCTACCATGTTAGAGTAAAAATTGGAGCCAAAGAAATCTCAGTTACAAATTCAGCTCTATTGACTTGGCTTGTTTCATTTTAATCAGTTCTTAAAACTTTCTGAGTAACAGTTTTCTAATCAATAAAAATGAGGAAAATAATATATACTCTACAAGACATACACAGACTAGCAATAATATATACAAAGAATCTGGCATAACAGGTATTTTAAAAAATAATTGATCTGGATTTAGATATGATGGAGTGGATGGCATTAGAATTAACTGTCCCCCATCAATAATTCTAAAAGGTATATTAAATATTAGACAGTAGTCAATGTAAGGCCATGATCCTTTAGAGGAAAGAAATATATAAGAAATGAAACACATTAGCACATTAAGTGAGCCCAATATTCATCTCAGCTTTACCCTGAGGGCATTTCCAAACCACAATTCAGAGAAATAGTGCCCAATCAGAGAGTGGTAGTTTCACTGGGTAGAGACAGATCCCAGAGTTTAGAGTTGCAAAGACTGCTGGGATTTGCTTGGGAGGGTTCTAGAAAGGAGGAACCTAAGAGAAGGAGGGTAAA